CCATCCAGAAACAGGGTTCTTGTCCAACCCAAAGACTGGTAGCTGGTGTTTATTTTTCCCTTCTAGTCCCATGGGTTAGCAAGTTTATAGATGAGGTCAGTCCTCATCATAACCCTGCCTGCATTTGTACAAAACAGTAGAGTTAACCTATTCTTGCCTTAAATCCTGGTGCTCACTCTTATTTTTTACTAATAAATGTCCTTTATGGTACTGCATATGATATTCTGATACTTTTTTAAAAACTAAGGTTATGACCCGAAGATTTGGCAGTGGAGAAAATTACTGATCACGTCCACAACCACCTTGAATGTTAAGAGGGTGCAACATAATTTATTCAGTCTCCTATTGATAGATAGTAGGTTGATTGATCTTTATTATGATAAAAGTTACACAGAGCTTTTTTATTACAAAAGACTTGCTCTTATTATTAAATTAAAACATCTGTTTTGTGAGCAAAGGCATTTTCTGGTGTAATGATAATTGCCCAGTATTCTTTCTTTGTCACTAGATTCCTTTGATTCAAATAAAATGACCCTCTAATATGCTTTCTAAATTGATGGCCTACTTTCTACTAACTTAAATTTGGGTATTATCTTCACTCAGACTGAGTTGAGATCCTGGGGAATTCCTCACTCTTTATAGCTCATGTTGGGGCATGTGTCCTGTGTGGGTCAGTTGGTCCTTTAAAGGGATCATCTACCAATGGCAGGTTTTGGATTGTATGATGCTGGGTATAAACTTGTCTTCTAATTACACAGTTTGGGCATGGGGCTTTCCCCCAGCATGACTTGTCTCCTGTGTGAGAGTTTGATCCCCAGAGTTCACTGGCCTCTGCTAGATCCTGAAATCCCCTGTATATTTTGACATTCCTATGAGTGATGAGCAGAAACAAAAGTATGGTAGGGAAATGTACACATATTTTCCTGGGATATTCTAGACTGATTGAGAGGAAATACACTCAGCAAAGATGGTATTGATGTAATGTGTTTGTAATGTGGGCTGGGCTAATCATACCATTGTCTTTGTTCTTTACAGATACAAGCAGTAAGTCCAATACCTTCTCAGCAATAAACTTTTGGACTATCCTGTGAAGCCACAGCCACATGCGCCATCCTGATCCTGGTGAGTGTGTGGCTTTTTTTACTTACTCGCTTCTCTTTTGTCCTTTTGGATAGTCCTGGTTGTGAACCCAAGCTATTGGCTAATGAAAACCTTTTTTCAGTTGTGTCTTCATGTTTCTCAACATTTTATCCCTTTTTGCTGATTAGCAGCAACAATTCTGTCTCTAAGGTTTGCTTTGCCTGTGGGCTCTAAGTTCCCTCCAAGACATTCAATCATGTATTTAATAAAGTTTTCTTCTTATGTTTATAGTCTTAAAAACTATGTCAGTTAATCTGCTGGGAAATTTGCATTCAGCATTAAATAACAATTGTAATAACTCACAGTAGTTGTAAGTACAAAAGAAACAATTGTGTAAATATTCAAAGATGTTGCTCTAAAATTGTATAGTGTTATTTTAGAGAATTTCATTAAAATGTAACATCACTTTTTCAGGTTTTGGGAGGTTTCACAGTAGAAATTCAATGCTAATTTGTATTTTAAGCTAACACCCCAAATATTGTAATCATAGCAGATAAGGACTGTTTCAAGTGAAGGGAAAGTGACCTGGAGCTATCCTGAGTTGGGAAGATGCTTGTGGACTTTGGTGAATATAAATATAAATTTATAAATTGTCTAAATAGCAGCTTTACTCAGTATATTTAAGTAATATGGATGCTATGAATGATAAATCCTGACAAAATCAATTATGCTTATGTTGAGGAAGGAAAGACTTTTCCCCTCTACACTCTTAGGTTCTCTAGCTGGAGTCCTAGGAATTAGACTTTCAGGAGACAAATTAACAAGAGAAAAACAATTTATTGAGCCATGCATTGCACATTTATGTGGGAGAACTCAGTGATGAGTAACACCAAAGAGATGGTTAGAACTTGGGCTTAGTGGCATCATAACAAAAGAACAATAAATTTGTAAACAGGTGTCAAGACAAAAGGATTTGAGATTTCCCAGGGCAGCAAATTGTAGGAAGGTAAAATATGAAGAAACTAATGGATTGAGGTTGGCTTGTGCAGGTTGACCTCAGCTCCAGCTTTGTCTTCTTTGTGGCCATAAAACTGCTCTAGGAGAGATTGATAGCACTCCTCGTTTCTCAAAAGTTTCTGCTTTTCATCAGATAAGGGACATTCAGGGAAGGCTTCCTTCTGCATGTACTGATTTTCATTTGCCTCCAGCTCAAGATGTCTGTGCCAATGTGGCATATTTTGGTCCCTTGCCCTTGTTTCTGAGGAATTCAGCAGAAACACCATTTCTCATAGTACAAGCTGTTTCTTTAATCATCTAATCAGTTGAGAATCTGAATGTTTTCTCTATGGGATTTATGTGATGTATTCAGTCTTCACAGGCTTTACATAAGCACTCAGTGGCTTACCTAGATGGCCCTTTGACTAGGGGTCCACTCCCTGAAATACAAAACCTGTTCATTGCTTTTCCAAGAAAATTATGAGCTTTAAAATGTTTTCTAAATCAAGATCCCAAAAGTTATCCTTGGTGCAGCTATTGTGTTTTTTCAAGAATTCACACATTTTGGAAATGTTCTTTGTGCATATGCATGCACTTTTTTGGAGGGCTTGCCTTTCCCAGGTGCCTCAGTTTACATGGTATTTTCAGTGAGAGGCTTTGAGCACCTTTCATACCAGATGATTTATATACACACAGATTAGCAATTAACTGTCACAAAATCATCCTCACCAAGAATGGGTATGACCTTTGGCTCAAGAATAAATACCTCATAATATCCTTAAAGAGTTTGTTTTATCTATTTAAACTTACTAAATAGATAAAATATATACTCACTGCTTTAATTGAAATGCACTCAGTAAGTCAGAACCACCTCAATCCAGGAATGAGTACATTCACAGTGCTCTGGTCTCTGTCTTCTCTAGTCTGAGTTTTGCGTGAGTATCCCTTTACACCGTCTTCTACTGGGTTCTACATCAACAAAAATAGGAAAAGACTCAGCTTCAAAAGCCATATCAGCCAGTGAGCAAACTGGTGTCAGTGAATGTGTTCATGACTGCAAGTCAGCTGATAGAACATTTGGGGGAATTTGGTTGGAGCTTTCTATTTTAACCAATATCTGTTAAGAGTCCAAAATGTAGCCAAAAACTGGTAAATAATCCCCAAATTTCCCAAAGTGTAAAGAAAGCTGTGCATTGAGAATGAAGTACAATCAGTGTGTCAATTTCTGATGTGCAGCACAATGTCCCAGTCATGCATATATGTACATACACTCATTTCATATTCATTGTCTTTAAAGGTTATTGCAGGATACTGAATTTATTTCCTTGTGCTATACAGAAGAAACTTGTTTTTTTTTATCTGTTTTTATAAATAGTGGCTAACATTTGCAAATCTCAAACTCCCAAATTTATCCCTTGCCGCCCCCTTTCTGCCAGTAACCACAAGATTGTTTACTATGTCTCTGCAAGTCTATTTCTGTTTTGTAGATGAGTTCATAGTGTCCTTGTTTTCTTTTAGACTCCACATATGAGTAATATATAGCATTTTTCTTTCTCTTTGTGGCTTCCTTCACTTAGAATGATGATCTCTGGGTCCATCCATGTTGCTGCAAATGGCATTATTTTGTGCTTTTTATGGCTGAATAGTATTCCATTAGAGAATTAGGTTTTAAAAACTTAAGTGTGTCATAGGTTCTGGCTGTGAAGCTGTAATAGTCTGACTCATACTTCCTCTGTAAATGACTAACACTGAAAAAAATATGGGAAGCAAGTTCTTTCAGATGTTGGGAAGAACTTTTCTGTGACCCCTTTTTTTTTTAAATAGTGAAAATTTTTATACTTAGAATTAGCCAGCTGGGCTGTTTAGATGATTCCAGTTTTGTTAGCAACATCCAAAGCATGTCAGGAGCCCGTCGTACATATGCCTTCTCTCCATGAGGCCTGATCAGCTTTTGACCTTAGCCACGTCAATGTCATAGAGCTTCTTCACAGCCTGTTTGATCTGGTACTTGTTGGCCTTGACATCCACAATGAACGCAAGTGTCTTGTTGTCTTCTGTCTTCTTCATGGCTGACTTGGTGGTCAGGGGGAACTTGATGATGGCATAGTGGTCAAGCTTGTTTCTCCTAGGGGCTCTCTTCCAAGGGTATTTCAGCTGCCTTCTGAGCTGCAGCAAGGTGGGTGACGTCCAGATTTTTTTTTTTTTTCTATGTGGCTGTGGACAACTTTCAGCACTGCTTTCTTGGCCTCCAAAGCCTTTGCTTTGGTAAGGGTGGGGGCTTCCTTCGCTTTTGGTGCCTTCTTTGTGAAAAGGTTTTCTGTGACCCTTGAGAGAATGAAAGCCTAATCGGTGAGGTCCATTCTTCGCAGCTTCCCACAGAGGTCTCTTTTACCCTGACCCTGTGAAGTACACTCACAAACACGTTACACCACAAAGCTGAATGATGTGCACAAGAGAAGCAATAAAATAAGCTTTATTCATTTTCAGCTGCAAGTGGACACACTGTGTGATGGATTCTATGGAATGTTATGTCCGTTTGGATGCACCTGAAATAGAACTCGTAGCCTCTGGAAGTATGCTGAACTTCATGGAGTCTTTGTAGTATCTCTAAACACTTCATTGATCAGGTGCAGGCACCTCCGGGAATCTGGGCACAGTCCCTTTAAAGAACGAGTCCCCTTCCTTGCCTTTGGGACCCTCACGGTGGCGGGCTTCACCTTTGTTTCAGGAGGATCTGGTGTGGGGCGCGGGTCCGGCACTCAGCTGTGAGAACCGCATTTCCCAGAAGCCCTTGTGCCGGCGTGGAGCCAATGAAGTTCCGGGACCAGGGCATTTCCGTGCGTGCCATCGCGTTGGGGCGGGACTTCCGGCGACCTCCCAGTGGCGGTCCGGTCTCTTTCCTGCTCAGAGGTTCCCGGGCCCTGGGTCAGGTCCGAGGTGAGTGGACTGAGGAGACGCAAACAAGAGGAGTTATTCCTGCTGCACAGAAGCGGGTCTGAATCACAGGACGGCTCTGCCCACAGACTTCAATGGCGGCGGCCGCGCTGAGGGACCCACTTCAGGTAAACGCGCATCCTCCAGGCCCGCACCGCCCTCTCCCGCCGGACACTAGAGCCCCGAGGGCGGGGCGCCTGCTCGCGTGCCTGCGGCCCGGTCCCCGGAGTCCAGGCTGGGAAGGAGGTCGTGGGTACAGCGCTGTTTCTGGCAGTGTGGTGGAGGTCAGATTGAGTATTCTAGAAACTTGTTTCTGTAGGGAACACAGAATTGAGATAGAGTGCCATTTGTATTGGCCAGCTGAGGGGTAGTTCCTTCATCAGACTGGAGAGGGTTGTGGGCAGTGAGGCCCAAGGAGACTGAGTCCTTGTGCAGATCACACAACTGATAAGGGTCAGCACTGGGGCCTGAATCCTAGAGTTTAGACAGCGTGAGTTTTTGCTCCAGGGGTGGGCAGTGGTACAGTGGAGACCAGAGTCTGTTGAGCTCCATCATGGTTGCCTGCCTCCACGTTCCCATAACAGTTGAAACACTCTTGTAATCTAGATAAGTAAGAGGAGGGTGTCCTAAGGCCTCAGTGGTCATGACCCTATCCATATGGTGTCTGGGACCTTGGAGAAACAGAGCTGGGCTGGAGGTGTTCCCAGCTCTTACAGTCAATAAAGTGAAGTTGTCATGGGCACGGGTACCAGTATGTGCCGAATGCTTGAAGGTAAAGCTAAGTTGGGCGCATTCAGGGAAATGTTGGTTTCCTTCTGATGGGAACTGAGCAGGGAGGCAATATGCAGGTCTGGAGTGTCTCCCTGAGAAGTTGGGCGTCAATTGTGGAGGTGGTAAGAGCAAGGGGAGGTTTGGATCATAAGGTGGATTTCCAGTGACAATGCCAGGAGTTTTGGCCATGTGAAGAGTCTGACATGTTTCAGAAAACATGGAATGGAGGCATCAAGTGGTTAGCAGGTTACAAAGATCTAGAGACAGACTTCAGCGTCAGACACACATAGTTGTTGGCTACTGTGGATTTGGTGGATCTCTGTGTTTAGGAAGGGAATTCTGGTCACAAGCCAGGAAGAGGGTTGGTGCCAATTCTGGGTCTTTTACCTGGGCACCTTGCTGGAGAAGGTAGCCTCTCAAACGCAGGTAAGGTTTTAAGAGAGATGGCCAGAGAGTAGGGGGAGGAGAGGATAATCTAGCAGGTGGCCAAGGCTTCCAGGGGATAGAGGGGAGATGAGAGAAATGCAGAGGCACATGAGTACTTGAGGCAGGATGACCCTGAGGTTTATTCACCCTTCTTGACTCACCAGCATTTTGTGCTGACCTTTTGTGGAGCCTGGGGTGTTTCAAGCAGGCTGGTAGATGAGCCCAGGCAAATATGTTCATCTGTGAGTTACTTGGGCAGAGTTTCATTTCCCTAAAGTTTTATATTAAAGTACTAATTGCCAGTACCTCAGAATGTGACTGTCCTTGGAGATACGGTTTCTGAGGAGATAACTGAGTTAAAATGAGGTTATTAAAGTGGACCTTCATCCAACAGGAGGAAATGTGGACCCAGATACAGTGGGAAGACCAAATCAAGTCACAGGGACACAAGAGCCATATATTAGCCAAGGGTTGAGACTGCACATAAAACTACCTACCAGCATCCTTGATTGTGGTATTTTAGTGTCCAAAAATGTCAGAAGGTTAAGTTTTTGTTGTTTAAGCTACCCAGTATGAGCTACTCTATTATGGTAGCTCTTGAAAATGAATAGACATGAGAAGCTAGGCTTTGAATTCGTGAGGGGACATCAGGTACAACCATAGGTGGGAAGAGGGCCAGGGCGGTCTTGAGACCCAAGCAAAGAGTTGAGGCAGGCAAGGAGGACTGGATGTACGGCTGCTCCAAAGTGTGGCCCACCAGAGGTCTGCAGTAGGAGAGGTTCTGTATAACTTCACCACACACTCTTGGTGCTGTATGATGAGTGAGGTGGGGACACAGGACTTGTGTGGCTGTGGGGATGCACTTACGGGGGGGTGGGGCAGAGATGCACGAGAGTTGCAAAGGAGGATGTGCACGTGGAGAGGAAGCATGATGCTCCTAACTCCACAGCGTTGGTCTTGGAAACTAAGATTGAGGGTTGAGTGCAGGTTTGGTTATGTCTTTTGGTCCACCTGCCTTTTATTGCCGAAGGCCGGATGGTGATTAATGGGGCTATGAGGAGGGAGTGACATCAATGGCACTAGGGCCTGGTATCTTGTCTGAGGTGGGGAGCTTGGGAGGAGGGTAAGCATGGGATAGATATGTGGGTGATGGGTTGTAGGTCTTTCAGAGAGGGGCTATGTGTGGTTTCTTCTCTCCCCCTCATGGCAGGGCAGTGTGACCTTTGAAGATGTGGTTGTGTACTTCTCCTGGGAGGAATGGGGTCTCCTTGATGAGACTCAGAGATGCCTGTACCATGATGTGATGCTGGAGAACTTTGCACTTGTGACCTCACTGGGTAAGACCCTCACACCCGCTGCAGTGCCTTGGGCTAGACTCGGCTCTCCTCACATTTGGATTTGAGGCACCACTCCCTTTCCCAGTGCCCTGGCTAGGTGCCAGTCCATAGGGCTGTTCTCAGACCTGCAGCCCCAGTGAGCCTGCTGGGTCACACCTTACGTGCCCCCTCCCTGGTGCCTCTGCCCGTGCCCGCAGTTACCGTTCCTGACCTTTTCGCTATGTGTGGGGGACTTTGGCCTCTTCTTATAAGAGGCCTCTCTGAGGACGCTTTATCCTGTTGTCTGTCGTGTACAGAATTGCTGTGGGCCAGTGCTAGTCCCTCACCTGTCCTGTCACTGCCTTAGGACTCAGGTTCCAGGCAGTTGTTCACCTGGAGTTTAGAAAGAGTCCTGGGATGCAGTCACAGGCTGGGCATGGCTCCAGCCAAGGCCTGACCTTGGTGCATGGCAGCTGAGGGAGGTGTGACATCAGGACTGTGTTGGGATCATACTGGGAACCTGTCCTGTTTCCACCAATGTGTTGCTGCTGATGCCATCGCCCATGATCACACCGCATTTCTACCTTTCCTTCCCCGCTCTTGACACTTCCCTAACTTCTCATTTCTACCTTCTGTGTCAGCTTTTCTCTACTGTTCCCCAACTTTAGATCCCACATAATGAGTTGCAAGATGTGCACATATCCTTAAAGAAGGCCACTGGTAGAGACTTGACTTTCTTGCTGTGGTGCACCCCACCCTTACCTTGTAGAGTCCCAGTGCTGCAGAGCAGCCCTCCATCAGCCTTGTCTTGAAAACAGTCCAGTGGCCTCATTCTTCGCGGTGTCTGACACACTTGTGTTGTTGCTGCCCCTCCCACATGAGTCATGCATTTCACCAGCGTTTCTGTGCTTTCAGGTTGTTGGTATGGAATGGAGGACGAGGAAGCATTTTCTGTGCAGAAGGTTTCTGTGGAACAAATTTCACCAGGCAAGAGTCTACATCCAGACCCATCCATTCAGAAGACTCAGCCCTGTGAGAAATGTGTGGCCAGGAGAGGTATCTGGTGCCTGGCTGAGTACCAAGAATCACATCCTGGGCAGGAGTCACACACCTGTGAGGCATGTGGACAGCAGTTCTGGGCCAGTCCAAACCTTCACCAGCACCAGAAGCACAATGCAGAGAGGCCATTCAAAAGGGACGTGGACAGGGCCTCCTTTGTGACGAGCTGCAAATTCCGTGTTTCAGGGAAGCCCTTCACCTGTGAGGAAGTTGGGAAAGACTTCCTGGCGGTATTGAATCTTCTCCAACATCAGGCCACCCTCAAAGGGGCACCACCACACAGCAGCTTCAAGCACGAGGAATCCTTTCACAGTGGAAAAAGTCATTTCAAGGACGGTGAATATAGGGATCTCTGCAGTTATGAATACACACTTTTTCAGCATCAGCAAATTCACACTAGAGAGAGTTATTACAACTGTGATGACTGTGAGAAACCCTTTAACCAAAGCTCCATTCTAATTAATTGCCAGAGAGCTGACCTAGAAGCAAAGTCTTATGAGTGCAATGAATGTGGGAAATCCTTTAACCAAAGCTATAAACTCATTCAACACCACAGAATTCACACTGGAGCAAGGCCTTACAAGTGCGTTGAATGTGGAAAAGCCTTCACCTACAAACTGAGACTTGTGCAGCACCTTCAAGTCCACAACAAAGTGAGGCCTTATGAGTGTGGTGAATGTGGGAAAGCCTTTAGCTACAGCTCCACTCTCATTAAACACCAGAGGGTTCACACTGGAGCCAGGCCTTATAAGTGTGGTGAGTGTGGGAATTCCTTTAGCCAGAGCTCCAACCTCATTCAGCACCAGAAGATTCACAGTGGGGCAAGGCCTTACAAATGCAGTGAATGTGGAAAATCCTTCAGCTATAAATGCAAACTTGTGCAGCATCTGCGAATTCACACTGGAGAAAGGCCTTATGAGTGCAGTGAATGCGGGAAATCCTTTAGCCACAGCTCCACTCTCAATCAACACCAGAGAATTCACACAGGAGCCAGACCTTATAAATGTGATGAGTGTGAGAAATCCTTCAGCCAGAAGTCCAACCTAATTCAGCACCGCAGAGTTCACACAGGAGAAAAGCCTTATGAGTGTGGGGAGTGTGGGAAATCCTTCAGTCAAAGCTCCCACATCATTCAACACAGAAAACTTCACACCAGATGACCTCATGACTGCACCTACAGGGAACAGGAGTTCCTTTGTGAGGGAACTATCTGGAGTTGAACCTGTACACCTGCACATCCCCTGTGGGAGGCTTTCAGGAGCCTGTCTGCATATTCTACTGCTGGTTCCCTTGTCTGAATTGCGTCCTTTTCAGCTTGGCAGAAGCCTCACCTCTACCACTTGGCAGGTTCTAGGTTCCAACAGTGTGTCAGGCACCCAGTGCAGTCAGGGAGAGCAGGTGTGTCTGTTCTCTGTCCTGCTTCTCTCCAGGACAATATGATTAATTTTCAGGGGCCCCTGTTTCCCTCCCCTCTGGCTGATGAGATCTGGGTAATAGCAGCGGCAGGTTTACCTTCTTCCGGTTCTGGTCTAGCTTGCATTGCGGGCCGAGGTCCCCTGGGAGGACTGGGGGGCTTTGTAGTCCTAACTTACGGCCTGGCCTGGGATGCCGCAGACCCAGCAGTCACCTGGAGGAGGCTGGAGTTGTCATGACAACCTCTATAGTGCTTCTGTGCGAAGTTAAATCGGTTCCCTTTTCCCAAGGATGTCACATAATGCTGAGCACTGTTGTAGGGAAGCTGTTCCCCTGGACCTTCATGGCTAGAGTTCTGGTGGCACTGGTTTATAAAACTACCTGAGGTTGAAATCTTCACACAGAAACACTGGAGGGCACTGTGCCTCCACAGATGGTCCAGCCACTGTGGGATGAGCATGTACACACCATACCTGTGTCCCTTCTGCAGAGGGGCCACTGTCAGAGCAAAGAAAAATAAAAACCTTATTTTTGTAGCCTCTGGACACTCCTGCATAGACAAGAATAGAAGGGAGGTCCCGCCGCCCAGGGATATAGCTTATGTGGCCCAGCATGGTTCCCCCGACCCCTGATGCAGGGCTGCCCTTCCCAAGGCAGGAGGAGGAAGAGTGGAGTCAATTTAGGTTTTCTAAACCTCTGGTTATGAGGGGGTGAAAAGAGGATTTAAGATTTCTATTTGAGGTATAATTGATCTAAATTGTTTATGACTAGTTTTAACAAAAGTGTATACCTATGAAACCACTGACCATATCTATAACTCAGTTTTAGGTTCTTTGTTCCAGAAAACTGGCACTAAACATGAAGGCTTCCCTCCCCAGGGAGGGACACAGAGCAGCATTAATATGAGGACCCTTTAAAGCAAGTTGCTTCTTGCCCTCACAGCCACTATTGATTTATGGATTAATTTTATAGAATTTTCTATGATTTAAATCATGAAATGTTTACTTTTAAAAAATTGTGCTTTTCTCCATACTGCATAATCATACTTTGTGATTCATAAATGTTGCTTATTATGTAAATACTTCAGTCTTTTATAGCTGAGTAACTCGCCCGTATGGTACCATGGTTTTGTCTATCCGTTTATCTGTTAATGGACCTTCTGCTTGTTTCCAGTTTGGGGCTACAAATAAAGCCTTATGAATGCACAAGTGGAAAGGAGTGTGATGGAGCCTTATGAACCCCCTTCTCAGTCCACTATCATCTTGACCCACTTGTATTAGTTGATAATCTTATGTTATATCACTCAGCACTTTAATACACTCCTTTTTCCCCTTCAGAAGATACTGTAAGAGATGAGATGGGCGACTGAATATTGGCCATCATCATCCAAAAGAATATAAATAACAAATGTTGGCAAAGTATGTAGAGAAAAGGGTAGGTACACTGTTGGTGGGAATGTAGTAAATTGGTGCAGCCACTCCAGAGCATATATTCAAAAAACCTAAAAATACTAATTCAAAAGGGTACACCCACTATTAATAGCATTATAAGTGCACAGCAACAGATGAATGGATAAAGATGATACCCATACTTACATATACAATGGGCTGTATGACTCAACCATAAAAAGTATTTTGCCGTTTGCAGCCCCTTCAATTTTTCACTTAAATTGCATCAAAAACCTAGAAATAAACTTAACCAAGGAGGTTTTTATACTCAGAAAACATGGAGTGGAAGAATCAACATTAATCAAGATAGCCTGCCCAAAGCAATCTACATATCCAAAGAATACACTACTCACAGAACTAGAGCAAACGGTTCCAACATTTATATGGAACTGTATACCGAAGCATCTTTTTTGTAGGTCTTTTTTCCCTTCTTCCTATTCTCTTTTCTTAGTTTAGAACTCTTAGCTTTTCTTTAAATGTAGGAGGCTTTTGATTTCTCCATCAAATCTGAACAAGAGTATTATTCTTTGCTGTAAGTTTCCCTTTCAACCCCTTTAATTTATATGAAGGCTAGCATAAGGTGGTTGGAGAAACTCCTTAATGTAGGGATTTCAGCTAGAGGTGTCTCAGTGTTGCTTAGCTGGGATGTTATTTCTTTCATGCAGCAGTACTGTAGGATTATTCAGAGTGATACACATTTTGTGTCACTTGACGTTCAGACTATTATTGCAGATGTTTAAACCGCTGAAAAGTAAATGTAGTGCAAAGGTAGTCATTCAAGGATAGAATCTATCAGGATTTACAGCACTGTGTTCAGTTCAAGTTCAAAGGAGTGAAAAAACCTCTCCTTTGAGCTGAACACAGTGCTTTTTTTTTAATCTTTAGTATTAAGGAAGCAATACTAAAATCCAAACATCTTACTGTAATTGCAATCATGAATTGTGAAACTTGAATGAAGTCTCAGATACAGCACAATTATTGTAAATTTTTGTAAAATAATTATGCCCCTGAGAAGTATTTAAACTGACTTGCAAGACTGAGGTAATTTTCAGGGCAAATTAAACTTTCGTACTGTATAATCTACGTAACTACGGAAAACTTTCTTTGGTATATACATACGGCCATTTCATTCTTACATTAACAGTATTTTAAACAAAACGTTTTCAAGAAAGTTCAAATGATTAATAAAAACTTCAACCTCACATCCCCAATTCAAAATCAGTTTAAAATAAAGCTGTGAAATTGAAATTACAATGAATGTGATGGGATTGGAAGTAAAGCTTGGGAAACTAGGGAGAGTTTCAACAAACTAAAAGCACTTTTGGCAGGAAACACTGTATATTGATGACAAAGTTTAATCCATCCAGCGGACTGCCTTTGAATAATACTTAAGGAGGCGACTGTGAAAGTATTATGTTTATAAATACATGTTTGCTCTGAGACGTCCTGGAAACTTGGTAGCAAATTGATTTAAGCAGGCAGGCTCAACTAGGGGAAAACACACGGGAGCTGCATATGTCAGCGAGGAGTCACTAGAGGGTATATACACTGAGGTGAAAGAAGTAACCCCATTAACCTGGCTGAACAAACTTCCCTATCAGCCTTCAAAATTTGTTTCGTAGTACAAACTTGAAAGGAATAAGGGAAAAAAAGCCAGCATGAAACTGGCCGTGGCCGAAATGAACATCAGTAGAGCACTATTTTTTGTTTTTTTGCTTTAAACACAGCTACTACTTAAATCCCTGCTGCTACTGCGTATGCCACACATTCTAAGTGTAAGAAGCATGAGAAAGCTAAAACGAGGAAAACAGTTAATAAAAGTTACTAGGGCGAAGGTTTCTAAGGGGGAGAAAAATGGCTTAGGTAACAAGTAGCGCAGAAGCGGGGCGGGGAGTGTGGTGGTGGATTGGGTTGGGCTGCAAACTATGTAAACAAACAAAAGCCTCATCGGTAACATAGGGGCATGAGACTTTGAGGGTGCGGAGGAAACACCCTTGTTACGTGTCCGCGCCCCAGAATATACTTCCATGTGTACATACATATACATACCTTCATTTCTGAGAAAACAAATGCCAAGGTCCGCGGTATCACCGATAAGACGCTAGTCCACTGCACGAATTCAGAGTTTAAACACGAGACTTGACACTTTAACCCAGTGTCATGGTGACTGAATACTTCCTGTCAAGGGAAGCTCATAATAGGGAGGCCCCGCCCCGGAATCATCACTGAGTCGCACGTGGGGTTCATGGCTGCTCCGGGGGCTGTTAACAAGCACAGACGCCGACGACGCCCTGTAACGGCGCCCCCTGCCAGGAACCTGTGGAGAGGGTCCCCGACAGTCGTCGCCCTCGGAAGACCCCGGATCCACAAGTGAGTTCAAAGTGTGGTTAACCATTGAGTCTCTCAACTCACGAGAATTCTGTTCACTGTCTTCACCAAAGCACCGCTGAGAATCGGACGAATTTTAAGGGCAGGAGAGCCCCACCAGCACGTCCGCGGAGAATTCGTATCTACAGACATGGAGACCAAACTTCTAGACGATCTGAGCCAAGGTGCCCAGTATCCTTTTAGGAGCGAGCCCTGTATCCCACCCCACACCCTGGGAGTCTCACCTTCCCATCGGCACCGAGAGCACGGGGCCTGACCACCGCCGGGTAGCCCGCTCCACTCCTTCCGTTGGGACCATGGCGCGATGTCCTGGCCTGGGGGTCCGGCCTCCCCGCCGAGCCAGGCCGGTTCTCACCACCAGAGAACGGGCCTCTGGATGCGGACACCCTCCCCTCTCCCCACGGAGGCCGAGCCGGGGTCGGTCTCCTCGCGGAGGCTGCTTGCCTTGCCCTGGAGGCCCCTCACGCGGAGGCCGGAGCCCATCGCCCATCGCTCCCCACTTACCTGTAGGTCCAATCTCCGCCGAGAGCACGACTTGCGCCCATCCCGCAAGACCAGGAAGATCCCGCCTGTGCCGCCGGCCTCCCGGAACTCTACCTCGCGTACCGCGGCCGAATCCCTTCCTTTGCAAAGCACTCCGGAGCTCCGGAGGGAAGACGCTATAAAAGTGGCCGCCAGGCGGCGCCAGACGACCGGCGCGAACGTCTTCTGGACGGGTTCGGATCCTAGGAAAGCCACTTGGGCTACCCAGAGCCACGAGGGAGTTCCCCGAGTTCCCAGGTGGGCTTATTTGCAGCCGCCACTGTAAAACTGAAACCATGTAAGTACCCACAGAACAAGAGATGAGTGTTCTAATTCTATCATTTTGAGCAGAAGTCTTTCTCAAGCATAAAAACAAAGCCCCAAAGCTATAAAGGAAATAACTTATAAACTCAACCACATAAAAGTTTAAACAAAATCCATCTCTGCATAGAACACAACTAAATTCAAAGACAAAAAAAATGGATGTGGGGAACATTGGTGCCAATGCACGTGAAATGATAAGAATATTCATTTCAGCATCACTTACCCATAAAAAACTGGGGGTGATTAATAGCCATTCACTAAATAAACTTCCAGCACATCTAAAACACAACAGTAAGAGAGAATGCATGCATAATTGTGCCTGAAATGAGGTAAATGTTAATGGTGAAGTGTTTCATGAAAATTTTTAAAAAGGTACAAAACTTACTTTGATGTATATGTGTGTGTATTTTATATATATATATATATATATGAAAGTACATATATTTGTCCCCAAAAGATGTGGACAGGCAAAGGAACTAGAATTGCTACAATTTCAACAGCCGACAGAAAAGTTGTCCCTAATTTAATGCTCACTTATAGAGCTGATAGAGACTACATGTTAGCAGATACGTTGTTCAACGAAACACAAGAGAGATTCAAACAAATTTGCCCAAGCCCAACTGATTTTTGGCAAAAGTGCAAAAGCAATTCACTAGAGGAAAGATGGTTTCTCTATTAAATGGGCGTAAGGCAATCAGACATCCATAGCAAAACACTAAAATAAGAAAGCAAACAAAAAATGTTTAACCTAAACACCTAAACCTCATATCTCATATAAACATGAATTTGAAATGGATCGTATACACTTCAATGTAAAATGTAACATCAGAACACATTCTGGGCCAGGGGTGGGGAGAGGATTCTTAGAGGAAAATTGGTGATCTAGGGTCAGGCAAAGAGATTTTAAAACTTGACACCAGAAGTGTGGTCCATAAAAAGAAATGCAGACACTGGGAATCATCAAAATAAAAAACGTAGGTTCCCTGAATGGCCATCCTTAAAAAGTCCACAAAAGATAAATGCTGGAGAGGTTGTGGAGAAAAGGGAACTCTCCTACACTCCTGGTGGTAATGTAGCTTGGTGCAGCCATTATGGAAAACAGTATGGAGATTCCTTAAAAGACTAAGAATAGACTTACCATATGATCCAGCAATCCCACTCCTGGGCATATATCCAGAGAAAAACTCCAATTCAAAAAGATACATACACTCCATTGTTCACAGCAGCACTATTTATAATAGCCAAGACATGGAAACAACCTAAATGTCTACTGACAGAGGACTGGATAAAGAAATTGTGGTACACACACACACACACACACACGCACACACACACAGAGTGGAATATTACTCAGTGAATTAAAAAAGAATAAAATAATGCCATTTGCAGCAACATGGATGGACCTGGAGATCGTCATTCTAAGTGATGCAAGCCAGAAAGAGAAAGAAAAATACTGTATGAGTCCACTCATATATGGAATCTAAAAAGAAAAAAAGAAAGAAAGAAAGGAAAAGTTAAAAAGAGGCCACTGAT